TATTATAAATAATATATAATATTTTATGGCATGCCATGGCACAAATTTTAACAAAAGGCATGCCTATGGCATGCCAATTTTTTTTTGGTGTGCCAGACACCCTATCGTGAGTCTTAAAGATCGAAGTTTATATAACATATATACAATATTGGAGTTAATGTCACTCCAATGTGCCGCGTAGCAGCACATTAATAACAATTAACCGCAATAAAATTGGCACGATTTTAATTGACTAACGGCCGTGATCTACAAAATTTTGGCCCGCATTACAAAATTGTTTGCTAGAAATTTTTTGGAAAATAAGCCCGCACTATAGTAAATTTGGCCCAGGAACTTTTTACTTAATAGACGGCTGTGTAGGGTTGCATCGGTCCTTATAAGATAAACTACGTGCGCTTTATGTAAATTCTTGCCCTGTATTTTTGTCTATTTATAATTAGCACCAAGTGAAAGTCTTTAACTGGGGCGAAATCAAGATGAGGAACTACATAAGTATTGGCTTCAATACTATTCCTTTTCCGAAATGAATACCTGGTAAGCAAAACTACAAACTGGTATACTATAAGTACCATTCTTTTTTTTAAAAAAAAATTTTTTTTTCTTATAATACTAATAACTTTTCCTTTTTTATGGGACGAGATCAAGACCCGAATTCAGAACTAATACTGACAAGTACTACTGTAAAAGTTCATATATAAGACCCGGGTCTGTTTTATTCACCAAATCTTAAAAATTAAAAATTAAAAATAATATATATATTTGCTCCGGACTTACAATGCTACAATGCTACGCATTAGCCTAGTAATAATAATAATAACATATGCACCTTTAATTTAAAGTCACCAATTCCATTTTGATTGATCATTCTAATTTTATCTGTTTGAAAATTATTAAATTATAGAATTAGAAGTGCATCGATTTTATTTAATAAAATAAACATAACCAATTCCTCTTTTAAAATCAGTAGACTATTATTAAACAAAGCGAGAATACCTGATATGAAGACCTGAAAATAGTAACAAGTACCTAACAGGCGCTCATACCAGTAATTCTCTGTTCGCGCTACACTATTTTGAGTTACCCTCGTTTTGCAAAATAATTAATAATAATAATAATAATATATGCACCTTTAATTCAAAGTCACCAATTCCATTTTGATTTTTTTGATTGATAGTTCTAATTTTACCTGTTTGAGAATTATTAAAATTATAGAGTTAGAAGTGCATCGATTTTATATAATAAATAAACATAACCAATTCCTCCTCTAAATCAGTGGACTATTATTAAACAAAGCGAGAATACCTGATATGAAGACCTGAAATTAGTAACAAGTACCTAACAGGTATACCAGTAATTCTCTGTTCGATACGCAATGCGACTAGAAGTTACCCTCATTTTGCAAAATAATACAGTCGTACTCCTCTATAGCCACCTCATAGACATAATCACCAGTGTTGGACAAATTAGTGGTCGACAAAAAATTTACTGGTCAAATTGGTTAAATCGATTATATAAATATAATATATATATTATATAATTGGACCAATTTGACTAGTACAGATCCTTTGACCAGACCGGTCAAATTGGTCTAGTCCAATGGTCAAACTGGTCTGGTCAAGCCAACACTGATAATCACATATTTTGTGTAAAACAAACTGAGTTATTATATAGGACAACCATAATAACAATAAGAATATATACAACCTTTAATTCAAAAAAGCGGTGAGACCAAAGCTGATAAAGTTTTTCACACGTTTTTATTTGATAGTAGTAATGCATTAAGAATAACTTCACGGTAGCAACCGAGAAAACCTTTCATATGTCGCTTTTTTTTTTCTTTGTCAGATAAGAAATCAGTTCTAGATCAAATAGATTAGAGACTAGTAAAAGCACAAAGTGGAAAACGAACAAAACCTATCACAAAAGCATTAATGAAAGTTCAGAGTAGATAGAAATTTTACCTAAAATACAAAAATAATTAGCACACGAAAGTAAATTGTTCAGAGCAAATAGTACACGGGAAAAGTTTATTTTTATTTTTTAAGATCACATACCTACTTATACTGTATTATACTAGGTTAATGCGTGTCCGGAGCCTATTTTGTATTTGTTTTTGTTACACTAAAGCACAAATTCAAATTTTTAAATTTACATTTTTGATACAAAAACTAATGATTTTAGTCAAAAATGTAACTATTGGAGCATCAATAACGAAACTTTTGTATCACCTTACTAAACATTAAATGTCCTCCGCTACGGACAACTATTGGTATAATACTTCCAGGGGAGACCGTCCCAAATTGGGTAAAAATTCCGATATGGTTACACAAGGAGAAAAAAATTTTTTATAGGTTTT